CAACAGGTTCATCATCTGCACCCGCAAACGCATTGCCTTTTGAAATAGGAGTATCCATATCACAACTTGGTACATGTTCTTCAGTACCTATAACTTCATTATCTGCACATTTCTTGCTTCATACATTCTCGGTTGATAAATGTTCATCATATCCAACAACTTTGCTCAGTCTATCAACACTAAAACCATCTGCTTCAACTTGCCGTCCAACACATTGAACTTGCTCGAATACTTGAATTTGGCCTTCAACAGCTACTTGCTCACCTCTTATATTTTCAGCTGCGACTTTATGCAGTCCATCATGAGCAGTATTAATATCAGATTGAGGTTCGAAGGAGTCATTCATCCTATCATATTGTCGATACTTCATGAATTCAAAATCTGCATTGCCGTCATCTCTTCTTTTTGACTTGTCGACAATCTCAAACAACTTTTCAAACCTCTTATCAAAATGTTCCTATAAAAAAGTATTAACAATGATTATTCTAAATAAAAGAATAACAATAGCAGTAAAAAAGACTTCTATATAAATAAGTCCACCTTGACTTTTTTCACAACCTCGTCCACAATAACAGATCGCTCGTCCCATCAAAACTCTTGAACAACTTCTTTCGCGATCATGCGCCTTTCTTCTGTTGCATAGTTTTTAACCTCCCTCGTTACCCTCTAGTATAGAAATAGAAACAGCACAACAATTTCAGAAATAGAAACACTAAACAAAACTTCAGCTCTAAGAATGCTGAAGTTCATCAAATACAGAACAAATATTTCAGACAAAACATGTTGTAGTTTTACAAATATAGAAAAAACTTTAGCTCTAAGAATGCTGAAGTTCAGCAAATACAGAAAAAAAACTTCAAACAAAAAATGTTATAGTTTGACAAACACAGAACCGAATTTTAGCTCCAAGAATGCCGGAGTTCATAAAAAACAAAACAAAAACTGCAGAAAAAACATGCTTTACTTTTACAAAACACAAAATAAAACTTCAATTCCTAGAATGCTGAAGTTCATCACAAATAGAACAAAAACTGCAGACAAAATATATTGTAGTTTTACAAACATAGAACAAAAACTTCAGCTCAAAAACAATGTTGAAGTTCAGCAAAATACAGAACAAAAACATCACATAGAACATGCTATAATTAAAAAAAATAGTATGAAAAACTTCAGACTAAACACAAAAAAAAAAAAAAAAAAAAAA